ACATGAAGCAGCTGAATCTGTGACATGAAGCAGCTGAATCTGTGACAGGAAGCAGCTGAATCTGTGAGAGGAAGCAGCTGAATCTGTGAGAGGAAGCAGCTGAATCTGTGAGAGGAGCTGAATGTTTGGCTCGAGAAGTTTCCAGGTATTAAAGTCTGAGTGATGTGAGCTAACTTTCAGGTGATGGCCGATAGCTGAACTCATTTAGGGACTGGTCGTCCATGCACCTCTAATATATTTCAATTATAATAAATTTACTGCGTCATGATCTGAAACGTTTCTCTTTTTTGTCCTCTGCAGTTTTTTCCCTCCAGATCAGCTTCATGCTGCTCACGTTCGCCTTCTCAACCAGGTGACTCTTTTCAGATCTCCGTTTTAACTTTAACACAAGAGAGCTTCGGTTTCCTTCATAGAAAATCTGTTTTTTATAAATGTTGGCACGACGAGTGTGTTTGGTTCAAGATGGTTTGTGGCAGTAATTCTTAAACTTTTAGAAACCTGTTTTTGTGTGTGTTTGTTTTTTTGTTTGTTTGTTTGTTTTGTTTTTTGTTTTTGGTCCTTAACCGGAGCCACGTTGTTAGAACCCGTCCTCTTACCAAACAGTTTATTCTGACTCTTGTTTGGTGTTTACTGGATTGGATGACTGAAGTCTGAAAACAAACAGACTTATCAGATTTAGCATTTTATTCATTTAACAAACAGACGCCTCGGTAGCATGCGGAAGAACCATACACAGCCACAACAACTTGGCAGCCCCTCATGCTGCTCACCAGCTTGGTTCCACGCTGCTGTGGGCTGACGTCCTGTTCTTCAACCAGCAGTGGCCACGAGTCCGTCGGTGTGTTGGTCTCTCTGGAACAAGCGGAGCGCCCAGACTGACCTGGTACCACAGGTGTCGACGAGCCGGTGCCTGATGGTCGGCAACCTTTGACAATCCCACACGTCCACAGTCTAGAGGAAAAACCTCTATCCTCAACGTTCACCCCTGCAGCGCGGGGATTATTGGAGACTACCTCTGGCAGGTGGAACGTCCCTCCTGCAGTCCTGACCTGAAGCCCACCTGGGGGGTCAGACGATGCTCCAGAGGGACCAACAACCACAGTGGCTGTTAGAACAAAACCACTAGAGGAAGGGGACGCCGTCCCACAGCAGGGTGTGACCAATCTGCTGAGCAGCACAAGGAGGAGGGGCCAGGCTGTTGTGGCTGTGTATGGTTCTTCCGCATGCTCCTGCAGCACGCCTTTATTAAACAAATAAATAAATAAACTGCAGTTATGTCTCATCTCTTGTTTTTTTTTAATCATCATTCAGGTATTAAGATTCCTACATTTATGAACAACTTCATAATTTATTTTTTTAATCTTTGGCTCTTTGATGGTTGTAACTTCCTGTTGGTCTCTGCAGGTCCAGCTCAGGGTTCAGTCCTGCAGATACAGTGGCCATCATGTTCTGCTCCACCCACAAATCTCTCACTCTGGGTACGAAGTCACAGAAAACACCGAGTCGGCATCGTCACTCCACGAACACCGTTTTGTTTCTGCACGTTTGATCTTCGTTGATTAAAACGTTCGCCTCGTTTGATTTTGTAACTTTTAAACTTTACAGAATTTGAGTTTTATTTTTTTTAAATGTACCCAGTAAAAGGCACTGAAGTTTCTTCAGCTGTTATTGCAGCAATATTTTATTTTTTTCAAATGCAATTTTTAGCTTTTAGCTAGCCTTTTGCTACAGTTGGTTAGCCCTTTACAACTTTTAGCCTTTAGTCGATTAGCCTTAGAAGGCTAACTAGCTATAAACTAAAAGATGTAAAAAAAATCTTTCAGCAGTTATTGCAGCAATATTTATTTTTAGATTTATTTTTCAAATGCAACTTTTAGCTTTTAGCTAGCCTTTTGCTGATATTAGTTAGCACTTTTCAACTTTTAGCCTTTAGCTAGTTAGCCTTAAGTGATTTAAAGCTTTTAGTTATCCATTTGCTACTTTTATCTTTTAGCTAGCCTTTTGCTACTATTTAACACTTCACAACTTTTAGCCTTTAGCTAGTTAGCTTTAAGTGATTTAAAACTTAGTTATCCAGTTGCTACTTTTAGCTAGCATTTTGCTTTTTTATTGATTTTCTAGTATTTTACTACGTTTTGGTTTTTAGCTAGCATTTTGCTCCTTTCGGCTTTTAGCTAGTGTTCGTCTTCTTTTAGTTTTAACAACTCGGGTTTAGCTGTTTTAGCTTTTCGCGCTGGCACTGTTTTCACAGAAAAGGCCGTTTGATTGATTTCTACCTAAACTTCGCCTCCTGGTTCGTTTATCGCCTTTTTTGTCTGAAGTGTCTGAAGGTTTTCCTCACTCGATCAGTTTGTTGTCGAGTTCTGATTTTACGTCTCGTTTTATCGATGTAAAGATTTTAACGAACAAAAATAAAGTTGGGTCAAGAAGAAGACGCTTGTGATGAAAGCTGGAGCAACGTGTGCAAAACAGCTCAAATGAAATCAGCTGAAGCTTCGCCTGTTGTGAAAAATGTAGCGTCTCGGCTTCAGGCCCGTCCTGCTGAACGTGGACTCGTTTGTGTCTCCAGGTATTCCCATGTTGAAGATCGTCTTCGAAGGCTACGAGCACCTGTCCCTGATCTCCGTCCCCCTCCTCATCTACCATCCAGCCCAGATCCTGCTCGGTTCTGTCCTGGTGCCGTCCATCCGGAGCTGGATGTTGAGTAGACAGAAGGTACCCACAAAAACTGCCTCGTCTCCTACACTCGTTCCTGAACACGACGTGCATGAGGAGGAACGAAACAGTTCCTGAGGTCCGGTTGTGTCGGCGTTTAAGAAATGAGAAAATAAAAAGTAGGTGATGGATTAAAAAGCCCCCCCCGGCGCCCGGGCGCCCTACATGCAGCTCTCTGCTCCACAGAGGCTGTGGTCGCTCGGTGTCTGGTTGATCAGGAAGAACATCCGGTGTAAAAACAATCACCGCGTCTTTGTGCGAGGTAGTTCGCTGTGGTGACCTGAAGAAGGAGCCGAGAGAAGAAATTAAAAAGTCACAATAATAAATAAAAGTGCAAAGTAGAAGTGGGGGGGGGCAAACAGTCCGTTATCAGGGTGGGTGGGATCCTTCATAAAGCTGGCGGTCCTGATTCTACACCCGCTGCAGAACTTTCCTGTCCACAGCAGAGCAGTTCCCACAGTGACACGAGGTAAAGATGCTCTCCACCGCGCACCTATACAAGCATCTGAGGACAGGGGTGTCCGGGGGTGTCCGGGTCTAACCCTAACCCTCAGGAAGTACAACCCTTTCTGGGCTTTCTTCGCCCAGCTGCTGTCCATGTGCACACCCAAATATTTATGGGATGAGACGAGCGCAATTTCAGCTCCTCCAATATAGAGGGGGGGAGGGTGGTTCACGGTGGCCTTCCTGAAGTCCACAATCATCTCCTTCGCCTTCCCCACATTAAGGCAGAGGGAACTGGTCCTGCACCAGTCCTCTAGTTGTT